CCTGCTCTGTTCCTCCCTCCTTGAAAATTCCTCATTCAATAGCCTTTCAAATAGTTTTATTTGGCTTTCAATACTCATTCCATCTCTTTTTCACATCCTCATGACACGTCAGCACTTCTTTATCTCCTCCAGTTCAAAAAAATCATCGGATCTATTTTCTCGTAACATGGCCAATCTATACACTTCCCTTTTCCTTCTTTTGTTCCCAAACTCTCATAATATAACCATCATACTTACCACCATCTCACCTGGAATTTTATATTTCAGCTTTAAGATTTTTTTGTAAAAATATTGATCAGCTTAGGGATATAGGATTTCTAGGATTTATTGCTTGAATAGACTATTATTAATTTTGGGGAGGAAGGGGGGGGGGGTAAATAAAAATTTCGTTTTTTTTGGCACAGCCTTACACAAAGTTTGTATTCATACTTTTTCCATACGTTATAGGGCTTTGGTCTGACCCTAGAACAAATAAAACAATTTGTTAGTTTGTACGAAGCACAAAAGCCTGTACCCAGTAGCATTGATGCTGCGGTATCTGAAATAGTGTTCAACAAGCTTGGTATAACCACCACGGACAGCGAATTTGATTACGACCGTGAGAATGAACAATAATTTTTATATTGTATTAAGTATGACAAGTAATTGGAGAATTTACTAATATAATTGAAACTCGCGCAGAACCCGCTGAAAAATTGTTGATGGATTTAATCGTCTTTGTGGCAGAACGCAATGTAGCAGTTGAGGAAAATGTAATATCGTTCATAATTTTTTTTTTTTTAAATTTCAAATTTCTTCGCAGTTATGTTTGTTATACTATCTCGGCTCTAGCCTACTAATTAATAGCTATTATATATTTTTACATTACCAAACGGTTTAGGAATTGAGAGTATTAAGTCCATTTGAGGTCGCATGTGCCATAGACCAATTCAATAATAACGACAGTGACCACGACGGTGTACTGTCCCCTCATGAGTATAAAGAGTACGTGGATGATGCAAAAAATGTTTATACAGCAGAGGCTATTGAAAAAGCGAAATATTATTTTAAGAAATTCGACGGTGAAGTTAATTTAACCAGTGTTAAATTATTTTGATTAACGACGATTGTTGGTCAAATAATGATTTTTTCTTTTATAGGTGTTAAGTCAATAAACGTTGCGGAATACCTGGAAATGGTATTGTTCATTACAAATCATATCAAAGACAAATATATTAATATACATAGTGGTTAGTGCCACTTGATTTTAGCTCCGTTGGTTTATAGCTCACAAGCTTAAACAATATTAATTGGATGACAATTGGATTGGACATGTTCAATAACCATAATGATAATAATAAAATTTGAAATATTTGTATGTATTTATCAATTGTAATATTTCACTCCTCTGTGTCTAATATAAAAAAAATGATTATCTAATTTTCATTACCTAATAAACTTACAAACGAAAAAAATTCAGTACTTAAATGTTATTGTTTTTATTTAATTAAAAACCTACTATATTTAATTACACTATATTTTTCGTAGTACGGTAAACATTTTAAATATTAGAATTGATAAAAAAATCCAATGTCTCTGATCGCGGTAATTTATTTTTAAGCAACATTACTCAAAAAACACAATATATAAATCACACTGATGATATTTCTTTTTAACCAGTCAACTAAAACAGGTCAAGTTTTTCCCGGTTTCGTGGATGAAGAATTTGACATTTTCTACTTCTGGCCTACCAAAGTATCAGTAGCATACGATTTAGGATCTATAGAGGCACTACACGAGTAATTTAGTCAGGAAAAACGTATTTTTTCTTTTTTAGTTGGTTTTATTTTAAATACTCCCAAAATATCTCATGTTTCCGGCTATAACTTAATCACCGACAGTGTCATCAATATGATGACAATATATTCGACTATGACAACACGATTCTAGCGGTTTCAAATGAATATAAAAATAAAATTTATTCATGACCGTATGTAGACATTTTTAGGCTCCAGTTATATTGCCTTTGTAGAAACTATCAAACTTTTCTTCTAATTCTGCTAGGGTCAGCCGTGCAAGAAGAAGAAGATTATTAAAATGCACACCTAACTCCCCACCCCCCCACGGTCGTAGTTCTACTTTTTACTTTTTCTTTGTATTGCAGTAAAAACGAAAACGCGTATTCGTTTGTGGTAAAAGAATATCAACACACCTTTGTAAACATCAGTGCTAAAATTTTTTTACAATAACACGAAAACAAATTCATGGGTTTTTATTTTTCTAGCAAATAGTCAACATTTCTTATAGTATCCAATGTGTACCACAGTGCGATCGAAAATAATATCCATGAACATAACAACATGGTTTGGCAAATACTGTTTTTTTTTTTTGCGTTTATGTCAACGCAACACCGAAGAAACGTAAAAAGTACTTGTTTTGCTGTTTATTCGTCGTTTGACTTCAGTGCTAAAAGTTATACGTAGTATATCATTGCAAGAACTCGATACAATTTTGATAATTATTGTTTCAAAAACACTTGAAAACATGCATTTCAAGATCGCCCTTATTGTCTGCGCTGTGTATTTTCTAACGGCGGCATGGGTAAGCTTATTATACCATATATTTATTATCTTTTATCCCGGATAATATAAACTCAAAAAATTAAACACACACTGATTGTATATACACAGGGTGACTGTTTTTTATCGCGGGTCACTCAATATCTCACTGGGTTAAACAAATAATTTAATTTGTAGTTTTTATAAAATGTGATCTCAAAAAAAGTTAAGATGGAAGGGGAAGAGTGCACAGATACAAATAGTACTACACTCCAACTTTCCTACTGCCTTAAACTTGAAACTTCAATAACTTCAAAAATAGCTATTCAAAACTGGTTATCGACCAGTCAAAATTAAGATCATATTATATGAATCACAAAGTAACAAAAAACATTTGATATTGAGTAGCCAATGATAAAAAAATCACCTGTATATGTGTGTAAAGCTGCCACAGAATGGGCATTAGATTCACACTGTACGTTTACCAATATAACTGATTGATCGACATATTTCAGAGCATCGGACTAAACAGTGAGCAATTAGAAGTGTTGAAAAAACTGTTTGACGGTCATAAAACGTGTAACAACGGAATTAGTGGAGAGAAAATCACACGAGTCTTGGAACAATCCTTTAAGATCGTCCCCACCGAATATCCTGCAATTACTTTTAAATACTGTCCAAGTAACATACTGATAAACAATTATATTACCCTAACTTTTGGACAATTTAATTCGACTGCCTAGGTCGTTAAGGGCTTTTTCGATCGGTTAAATAATATTTGTTAAACTTAATAAATAATAGCTATAATACTGGGTGATTATTTTAGCGCCTTACACTAGTAGTTTATTTTTAAACAACTCACATTTTTGTAGCGTTTCCATTAATTGAAAACATTTTTATTTACGTTATAGCACAATATTAGTACAAATCCAAATTTTTAGTATTTGTTAAAGGCTTATCAACTTTTGAAAATTAAATAGTAACATTTTAATTTAATTTAAGTTATATTTTGACTGAATCGATAACCAGTTTTGAAAAAATATTTTTTAGTTATTTAAGTTCAAAATTACGGAAGGGAGGTGGAGTGCGGTTGAGTATTGCACGCAGATAAAAATAACTCTATACTCCACCCTTCCTCCTGTCCTAAATTGTATACTTTAATAACTTTACAATTATTTATTCAAAACTGGTTATCGACCAGTCAACATTTTCAACAAGTAATTCTTAATTTAACAAGTTAATAAAATGTGCGCGTTACCATTTAAGTTTCAAAAGTTGATAAAGCTTTAGACAATTTTAGTATTGTCTAATTCTGTAGTATAGCATAAGCAAAACTAATTTAAAAAAAATAACTATCAAATATTTAAAAGAAAACTGGTGTAAGGCGTTAAAAGAATCATTCGATATATAAAGTGATAATTGAAAAAAAATTATAATTCGAGTAATTTTTTATTAGAATAATTATAACATATTATTATATTATAACCCTGGCTGTAGATACAATTATGAAAATCGTTTCCTCCTCCCCCTTGACAACTATTATGGTTTAAAACGCCAAACATGAACTAACGTTTGGATCAACCCTTCGCCGATTTTTTCGAAAATTACACTGCTTGTCTGTTAAGATGAAATAAATATTCTCAAATTTTTTTGAATTATTTTGACCACGGTCGTAGAAAAATTTCGAGTTTTTGTCCTGAAACTTCTTTTTGATCGTTATTTATAGTATCTTTGGCCATCAAATAAAATTAATAAGAATCATGTTAAAGGACTATCAGATATATATAAATTTTAAATGTTTCCATTTATTACTTTTGGTAATATTTGGATACCTGTTTTACATTTGTAAACATAGACATGTTTTTATTATTTAATTCTATAAATAATTTGTCAATAAGTTTTGTTTTGTTTGATAAAAACACTATTTTTTATGTTTTTTGTGGCATTTATTCCATTCATAAGTATAAACTATTGACTTAATTATCAAATAATCAATTTGTATACAGGTGAGCCCGTTTATATTAATTTAAAAAAGTTATTGATGACGTTGGCTTACACAGACGGCAAAAGATCCGACAAAATCAATTGTTATGAACATAAAATCTGCAAGGTATTCAAGGTCTCAAATTAATTAGTTTAAACTATATATGAAATATAATGTACTAGGTATTGGAAAATATCGAAATTGTGATTTCATGAGCGTTGGTTTAGTGTGATTTTCTTAAATTATTCTTTTTTATACTATTATTACAGTTATAAGTTAGCTGAAATTCAATATATTTTTCAACAATATAACCTCTATGAACACAAAATATTAAAACGATTTACGTATACAGAGTGACCACTAGGGATAAGACACTCTCGTTCTCTTAAAATAATCCCAATTATTAGTCTTATCAGTTATCCCTAATGAACACCCTGTGAACTACTATTTTTTTTTAAGAAAATGGCTGGGCCAATGCTGTTATAAGCAATCACCCTAAATGTATAAATTGTTTTCAGGTTGGCGTATTCATACCTTTTGAAGTCAATTTTTACCAGGAAGAGTTCATTGATCTTGCCATATCTCATGACCAACCGGGATACCTTACTCTTGATCAGGTACCTGAAGTATTAAAGTATTGGAAAATGATGAATAATGCATTGAACGCAAAAGTATTAAAACTCAAAGCCCAAAAAGACGGTAATGCACAGAAGCCGAGGAATCGGTTCATTTGATGTTGTCAATTTTTAATTTTTAATTCAATTTTAGTCGATTATGTAATGAACGCAGTGGAGTTCTTGTTGGTCGTATTGGAAATCAAACCGAAAGTATGAGCTATAATCTTGACATTACAATTTTCTTCCGTCAACCCATTTTTCATAGTTCAAATATTGTTAAGTTTGAACAGGGGTTAAAGTGGGGGGGGGGGCGCAGGGAGACTCAGTCCCTTTACCTCCAATGGTGGTTAAAAAGCGTCCCCTTTAACAAATTATTCGTATGGTACACCGTACCGCTCCAATTATAACTAAACATTAGTCAATATAATTCAGAATTCCGTTGAGATTAAATGTTGGTTTTTATTTTTTTATCGATTGTTACTTTACTTTTATCAAATGTATTTAATACAAATTATGGACTTTCTAATATATGTGTAAAATTAATTGATTTTATTATTTATTGTAAATGGCTATACTGTGATAAATAGGTATTCGATTAGCCCATAAGTGATAACATATATAAATAGGTAAAGTGTGAATGTGTGATTTTTTAAGCATGCTCACCCCACCATGCGTAGAATTTGAATTTTTTCTTGTACAATTTAAAGCACTAAAAACACTACATTTTTATGATGTATATATTTTTTGTCTGGGTGATTTTTTTAGTTTTCTTAAAAGACAACCACTACTTACAACTTAATATTATTAGAAAAAATATTCTCTTTCAAAATGTTAAATTTATATAAAACACGAGTTATTCTTAAAAATGTTGTATTATTTGTGATTTAAATTTTTTATGAAATAAATTACATATTTGAACATTATTTAGGGATAAAAGTGGGATGAGTATGTTACACAATCACTGTTTCTATATTACATATACTACATGCATTAGACATTATACATAAAATTATATATGGAACGCTTTAAGCTATATGGAGACATTAGTCCCCCCTGTAATTCTTCCCCACTTTAAGCCCTGAGTTTGAATTGACCAAAAAGCCAAAATTATCATTTATAGATAAGATAAAGAGTTCATAAATGTTCTGCTTAGAATCTAACTTAGAGAATATTATAAAAAACCGAGCATCATACCAAGCTTACCAGCTTAGCTGTTACTTACATCTAAAATATGGCACATGAAAATTCCAATTCTGTTAAAATAGACTCCCTCCTACCGGCATATTAAATATTTTAATTTTTTTTTTAGGGACAGCCTTACTCAAAGTTTGTATTAATTATTTTTCATACATTGTAGGGCCTTGGTCTGACCCTAGCAGAAATAGAAAAGTTTATGAGTTTGTACGAAGCCAACCCTGGTGACATTGATCCTGTTGAATGTGAAAAAGTGTTCAACGAGCTTGGTATAACTACCACGGAAGGCGAATTTGATTACGACCATAAGAATGAACAATTAATTTTATATTGTATTAAGTATGATAAGTAATTGGAGAACTACTAATATTATTAAAACTCGCACAGAACCCACTGGAAAGTTGTTGATGGATTTAGTCATTGCTGCGGCAGAACGCAATACATCGTTTGAGAAAAAAGTAATATCGTTCATCATTTTTTTTAAATATAAATTTGAAAGTTCTTTGCTGTTATGTTTGTAATACTAACTCGCCTACTAATTTATTATACATTTCTACAACAACAATTGTTTAGGATTTAAGAGTGTTATGCACAATCGAGGTCGCATTGGCCATAAAACAATTCAATAACTTCGACGGTGACAAAGACGGTTTAATGTCCTCTGATGAATATAAAAAGTTTGTGGCCGAGACAGAAATGTTGACACTAGAGCCGCCACAAAAGATCAAAACAGCGACAATTTTTTTAAATAAATACAATGGTAAAGTTGAATCAGATTTAAATTGTTTTAATTAACGACGGTTGTTGGACATCGCCTGATAAATAAATACATTTTCATTTTTTTAGGTAGAACAGTTAACTTTGCCGAATTCCTAGAAATTATATTGTTTATTTCAAAACGATAAAAATATATACAGATTAAGTCACATGGAGATTTAGCTCCATTAATTTATAACTCACAATCCTAAACACTATTAATTGGACATGTTCAATAAGCATAATGATAATAATAATGTTTTAAATATATTTTTGTATTTATCAATTATAATATTTCGCTCTTCTGTTAAAAAAAAAAAAAATGATTATCTAATTTCTATTAATTAATAAAATTACAAACGAAAAAAATTTCGTAAAAACGTATTATATTTTATTACACTAAATATTTTTTTATATTACTTTACGGTTTTAAAGTTAGGCGGTTTGCTGAAAACTGTCTAATTTAATGACTCACAACACATATATGTGACTGAACGAAAATGTTCCAAATGTATGTAATACTTACTTATAAATTAGTGAAACATCTGGTAAATTGTTTATGGTGGAGAAATGGTTTAAACACCGGTAGTAAGGATTTAAATTTTCCAATTAACATTTATTTGAAATTAACACAATTTTCGTAACCAGGTATTCAATTTATTCCTTAGTATAACTGTATCAAAAAACAATATTATAGATTAGGCGCATCTAAATTTATAGTGACAATATGATGTTCTAAAGACAGTGGTGCAGACGATTGGAATTCTATACAGGTGAGGATTTGTTTACCTTGTTTTTACTATTTCCATAGATGTGTGATCAATAAACACACGGCTCCTTGTCTTGACTATTAAAAGATAAAACTATTAATATTTTTTTTTTTGCTGTCTTGTAATTGTGTCCAGCTTAGGAAATGTTTACCTTGTTGTTACTATTTTCAGGGATGTGTGATCAATGCAATGTAGTAGGGTCACGTACGTTGATTCACCGAAAACTAGACTCGACTTAATATTTAACACCACACTCTCAAAAAAAAAAAATTCAGGTTTTCACCGGTGACCGTCACATTGCACCTAATTGAATAGTAAGGTGGGCGAAGGATCATTAAGGATTCTGTGGTGGGTTTTACAAGCGTAATACAGATTTATCGCGCGGGTGTTATTATAAGTTATGGACGAGTGATTGCCAAAACTATATAGCCAGAGCACCACGGGTGAATGCCTCGTTGAAGTTATTAAACGTCAATGGATTTATTCGAATAAGATTAAGTATCGTTTTTTAGCTTCGATGAGGAGCTAAGATGCTCTTGGTTTTACAATGGTGTGTGTGTGTATTCTTTGTGTCTGTAAACACGATAACTGTTTTCCTCTGGAACGATTTACTTGATTAGCAAAATTAACTATAATAATATATATTAAAAATCGTTTCTTCTAAATTGGATAGAAGCTTTTTCTACATTTCGTTTATTTTTTTTTTGTGTAGTCGTTAAAAAAGATCAGTCTGGAGAAAGACAACCATCTATCCTTCTTAAAAAATGACCACACTAGGACATTAAACTGCTCTGGATAAGTCTTATGTAATAATATTTAATAACAATACATAAGCAACAAATGTGTTTATAATCGTGAACAAAACAGTTTATTACGAATAACATTAAATGGACACTTCGAATATTAGTACAATATGCAAAAATTATTGAAATGTTATATAATTTTAGAAAAAATAAACATTTCCTGGTCTTAATTGTCATAACTGTGAGTTCTTCCTCAAGTACTACTCTTCAAACTCTACTACTAGTTCTATTATTCCTCTGTCTATGTTTTTACCTAGTCTATTACCTAATTCGTCGATTTTTACTTTCCAATACTTGCCCTCAATGAATTTGTATCTTAAAACTTGACCGTCTTCACTATTTATGGTACAAACACCATCAACATTTTCAGTGTCATCAAATGATAACCTCAAAGTTTTTGTACTTATCCACAATGCTAAAAGCTTACAAATCCGTTTATGAAGATGAGACATCTCGTAAGTGACTCTAACCGTAATGTTGCTAAACGCATAAGCTTTGTTCATATTCATCTAGAACATTTATAATTTTGTAATAAAAAAATTAGACACGTGTATAAAAATATAATTCAGTAATATACACGATGTACATAGTTATTATTACACTTCAGCAAAAAGATATTACGATTTGTCTTAAATGAGTAATACTTGATGTCTATAAAGCATCAATAAAAAGACACAATAAATCTATTTGAGGTACACACGTAGACGGTAGACATTATAGACGTATAGATGTCACATAGATCATCAATGTTTGCTGGGTATGTGTTGTATGAACTTTACTATTTGTATTATTATAAAAAAATAAATTGTGTTTGTGTTACTGTGATATGTGTTTAATTAAAAATGTATGTATAAATGTGCCAAGAACTAATCTATGTTAAGTATATCTGTAAACTATGCATTGTTATTATTATTGTTGAAAAATTATTTTTATATATTTTATAAAAATCTATACTATTAAAACTCTGTATTAATATATACTTATTTTTTGGAGAATTAATCTTTTTAATGCGTTTCCAGTAAGACTTCTTCTCACTTCTCCAAGATTGGTCAAATCTAAATTCTCAAAACCTGCAAAAATGTTTAAATAACCGAGTTGACAAAAAATGTTTAATAAAATATTCGTATTTATGTCTTATTATAATTGTTCATATATAGAAGTAAATATTTTATGTAAATAATTTTGAATAATAATAAAAAAAAGTAGTTCATTTAACATTAACTGAACTATGATATTACTAATTTTTTTGTATAATCTTCAATTAATATTGAAACTCGAGAAAAAAAAATGTAGTCAACTTCAAGTTGATGAGCTAAACGCTTTCGTTGCGCATATGATCTATAAATTAGAACATTCGACCACTACAACATTAAATTTCGATATTTTATTTTCCTCTAAAGAATTTTAAAAATATTTTTATCGACTTAGATAATAAATCGTACCAAAATAACATTTAATAATGCTAAAATGAAAAACATTTTTCTATTAAAAATCGTGAGAAACACCCTAAGCATTTTCGTATTTGTCTACTTAAATTTAAGGCCCGCATTTATTGTTCAGTTTTTTTATTTATAACTATTGAATAAGTTCGTAATTACTTTGGTCTAAAGGTACTGAACCAACTGTAACAAAAGTTTAAAATATCAAATAATTTTTTTTTTTTTTTTTTAACATTTTATTGGTAAAACAAACAATCTGTAATTATTATACTACAATAACTCCGTAAGCGGAAATAATACAATGACTTGGATACACATGAATAAAAGCAGCCGCCCAATGGCGGCACTCTTTAACTTGAGTGGGTCAAATAATTAAATAATAAATGCATCCAAGTTTTTATAACTTACTTCTAAAAGCTACTCTAAATCTGATATTAGTTTGATCAATTAAAATATTATGTTAACCATAAAATTAATTTTATAGCAACATTTGAATTATATTTCAAACGTTCATCAAAAGCTTAAAAGTCAGATGTGGAGTTTATAACGATTTAATCAAACAAAGTACCCTATCTACAAAAATATTTCACATTCATTTGAATACGTCGATTACTATGATGCCATCTTCAACTCTGAAATATCTCACTAAAAATCCAGCTTGATGAAACTAACGGTGTTGCTTGAATAAAACGAATGGTCAAAAGAAATTAAAAAAAGAAGTAGCTTGAAATTATAGTAAGTAAACTAACTACAAATATATCAAATATGTTTTATCTTTCAGAGGTTTCAAACAAATTGCCAATAAATATCAAAAGTTCGGAGTAAAACCAACATTCCAGACAAGGAAAACAAATTTACAAGGGATTTTGGGAAAACTATAAAGAACAAAAAAAGTGAACACGAAAAGTCAAGTATTTTTGTGTGAAGATTGTGATAAGTCTGATGTTGGACAAACCAAAATAAACATTGGTAGTACGGTTTAATAAACATCCATGAAATAGAACATCAAATAAGAAAAAAAACTACCAGTTGTAGTTACTCAATACTATTCCTATTGTGAAAATTGTTAAATTGATGTAAACTAGATAAAAACATGTAGTAAAACTGGTATTGCGGGTGTGTGCTCAGTCTGCTGTTAGTGCTGAAGATGGGAACATTTCGCCGAGACGTGTAATTCCGTTAAACTGAAATATTTTTGTGGATAGGTTATTTTTTTTAATTTCATAGTCAAAAGCTTAAGCAATAATTATTTAGCTTTATGACTTTGAACATAAATCGAATTTTCATAGTTTTTCGTTAGAAATAATTAATTATCTATTTCAAATAATTGTAAGCTTAAACATTTTAACTTGTATATTTACACAATTCTTTAGATATGTGTTGTGTTTGCAAAATGTTCATGGTATCTATGCACTCTAAAATAAAAATGAAATAATAGAATGTACGTATTTTCTTATAACAGTATCATATCACAAATATATTTTTGTGTAAAGCTATAAAATAAAAATAAGTAAAATAAAATATATAATGGTAATGTTTTTTTTTGTACTTTTTAGATTATCTCGTTTAGGTTTATCTGAAATTGAATCGAAACATTAAAACGACTGTGTAGAAATATTTGCAAAACATATATTATAAAATATTATTACCCGGTATAGCGATCATTAAACATATTTCATCTGAAATTACCATTACATAAATTTAATGAATTTTTTTATTAATTTCAAATATTTTGTCTGCTATCAAGCGTTTTTTTTATTATTATAATACAATTATTACAAACCCATTGGACTGTCTCCTGAAACTATTCTTTCTATAATGTACTCCAATCCATCTAGAATAAACAAATAACGGTTTAAGCAATAAAACAAGTATCAAATAAAATCTTTATAGATATTAAAATAGTCAGAATAAAAGTACACTATGCTTTCAACGACTCCACCTGTTGGATAAAATAGTCAATTCTTAAAGATAAGTGTGCTCTTAGTAAACTATAACTGTCAGTGGCGTGTAGGGCTTAAACGCTCAATCAAAAATAAAAATAAAAAAATGTATGTATACAATTTTGTTATAATAAGAAAATATTTATAATCGTAAAATTATATGTATTAATTTTGATACATTTTTTAAGAATGTACTACTACAAACAAAGAATTTAAATATAAATGCGTATTATTTAATTTTATTATTTAATTTGGTTAA